CGCATCTCTGTGGATCAGCGTGCTTACGTGAATGCCATTCAAATGAAATGAATACCAATGCAAGGATTCCGATTGCGATACATTCCAAGACAAAAACTGAGGCTACGGGCAGACTCACAGATTTGAGACATTGCCAGATGAATATCAAATTAGACATTTTTGTCAATCCGCTGCTAAATGAGGGACTCCCACGCCATGCAGGTCGTGGCGGCTCTTTAACCAGGCAGTGTGGGTTGATGAAAATACCACAGTGTAATAACAATATAGTATTTGACTGGGGAGTGGTGGCACAGTGGTTAGCGCACTGTGCCATGAACCCGTCGACATCAGTGGCGATCAAGCGATATCTCATCTCAGTCCTAGTCCCCTTTCCCTAATTCACCAACCCGCACTGACCAGTGTGGTGAAGTATGGTCAAACAACTTTCGTCCAGTCGTGAATTGACACGAGGCCGTAAGTAAATATAGTCAAATAGCTTGTCTTACTCATCATATTATTACGACTAACTGGGTATCAGAGGTATTTAGTGCGTGAAGCATAACGCATTGTGGCTGGGGAAATGTTAGTGGTAATTATGAAGTAATAATTGTTCACATCAGCACTGGCGCGTGTTCACGCGACTTGATACGACCACATTATAATTTGTCCCCGCAGGCCGTGGCTAATCACCTGCCATTAAGGGCCCCCTGTCAGGAGGGTGAAGTGTGCGTGCGTGCATGGTGTGTGTGGTGTGTATGGTGTGCGTGGTGTGTATTGTGTGTGTGGTGTGTATGGTGTGTATTGTGTGAGGTGTGTGTGGTGTAAGGTGTGGGTGGTGTGTATTGTTTGTGTAGTGTAAGGTGTGTGTGGTATGTGTGGTGTGTATTGTGTGTGGTGTGAGTGGTGTGTATTGTGTGTGAGGTGTGGGTGGTGTGTATTGTGTGTGTGGTGTGAGGTGTGGGTGGTGTGTATTGTGCGTGTAGATGTATGGTGTACGCTGTGTTACAGTCTGCAACTAAGTTGTGCCCGGGTATGCTGTGTGTATGGTGTGTATGGTGTGTGATGTAAGGTGTGTGTGGTGTGTGTGTGGTGTGTGTGGTGTGTAAGGTGTGAAGTGGTGTAAGGTGTGTGTGGTGTGTAAGGTGTGTGTGATGTGAAGTGGTGTAAGGTGTGTGTGGTGTAAGGTGTGCTGTATATTGTTGGGTGGTGTGTATTGTGTGTGTGGTGTGAAGTGGTGTATTGCGTGTGGTGTGTATTGTGTGTGTAGATGTATTGTGTACGCTGTGTTACAGTGTGCGCCTAAGTTGTGCCGGGTATGCTGTGTGTATGGTGTGTGTGTGTGGGGTTATGCACAGCATGTAAGCCGTTTAGTGTGTGTGATTGTGGATAGGGCGCGTGTCTGTGTGTGTATGGAGCGGTGGTGTAGCGGTTCGCTCGCTCTCCCTATGAACCCGACGGTCTGAGTTCGATTCACGATCGACACCAGTGACGATTATCTGAACCGGTCCTGGGCCTCCCCTAGGTGGAGTGCGGTGTGTGGTGTGTGCGGTGTGTGCGGTGTGTGTGGTGTGTGTGGTGTGCGGTGTGTGCGGTGTGTGGTGTGTGCGGGTGCGGTGTGTTGTGGTGGTGTAAGGGGGTGTGGTGTAAGGGGTGTGGCGGTGTGGGTGGGGTGTGAGGTGGTAATGTGGTGGTGTGAGGTGGTGTCAGGTGGTGTAAGGTGTGTGGTGATGTGATGTGAGGTGGTGTGTGTGGTGTGTGGTAGTGTGTGGGGTGTGAGGTGGTGTGTGGTGTGAGGTGGTGTGTGGTGGTGTAGGGTGTGGGTGGTGTGTGGTGTGAGGTGGTGTGTGGTGTTAGGTGGTGGGTGGTGTGTGGTAGTGTGTGGTGGTGTGAGGTGGTGTAGCGTGTGGGTGGTGTGAGGTGGTGTGTGGTCTAAGGTGGTGTGTGGTGGTGTAGGGTGTGTGTGGTGGTGTGAGGTGGTGTAGGTGGTGTGAGGTGGTGTGTGGTGTGAGGTGGTGTGTGGTGTGTGGTGGTGTAGGGTGTGTGTGATGTGAGGTGGTGTGTGTGGTGTGTGGTAGTGTGTGGTGGTGTGAGGTGGTGTGAGGTGTTTGCGGTGTGTGTGGTGTGAGGTGGTGTAAGGTGTGTGTGGTGTAAGGTGGTGTGTGTGGGTGTGGTGTGAGGTGGTGTAAGGTGTGTGGTGGTGTGAGGTGGTGTGTGTGGTGGATGGGGTTATGGGGGGGGGGGGCAGTGCCCCTCCTTCCACTCCCTATGGAAACCATCTGGTTGCCATAGACGCCGCGGGGTGGTATTGATAATTGAATGCACACCTGTGTCTCCGCAGGAGTGGGAGACCCATTCCCTGTGTGCAGGGTGCTCCAGATGTCTTGTGACCCACAGCTTAATTGACCCATAACACGTGTTGCCCTTTGCATATCCATTTCTGTTTGAAATAACTCTTATGAACGAACGAATAACCATTACTTGTTTTTTTTAAAGGACCATTACATGGGGGTCACAAGACATCTGGATACTGCACAGACACACACAGAATAATAATGTATAATATACAACCTCTTGTCAATCCACTGCTGGATGAAGGTATTGCCCCCCAAAGCTCTCTCGGTATCTCGCGTCTGTAGGGGTTGGTAAAGGTCAGCGGCGAGTGGGCAGGGTATGTGGATAGTGCTGTTTGTTGCTGGCCCCATGTGTTTATAACAAGCAAAGTGCACACTGCTCCCTCACAATACCAATACTGGACTCGCCGGTGACATTACCACGGCGCCTGTGCCAGGCTAGGTGCACTTTGAGGCCACGCGCACATATTTTACGCTGCGTGTGCACGTCATCTGCAGATGATGCACCATCATCATCACCACCCATCACCCATCATCATCACCACCACCTATCACCCATCATCATCACCCATCATCATCACCACCACCTATCACCCATCATCATCACCCATCATCATCACACATCATCATCACCACCCATCACCACCCATCACCATCATCATCACCACCCATCACCCATCATCACCCATCATCATCACCACCACCAATCATCACCCATCATCACCCATCATCACCACCACCCATCATCACCCATCATCATCACCCATCATCATCATCATCACCACCCACCACCCATCACCCATCATCACCACCCACCACCCATCACCCATCATCATCACCACCACCCATCATCACCCATCATCATCATCACCACCCATCACCATCATCATCACCACCCATCACCATCATCATCACCACCCATCACCCATCATCACCCATCATCATCACCACCACCCATCATCACCCATCATCATCACCACCACACATCATCACCCATCATCATCACCACCCATCATCATCACCACCCATCACCATCATCATCAGCGATAATCATCACCCATCATCACCCATCATCATCACCACCCATCACCATCATCACCCATCATCATCACCACCCATCATCATCACCACCCATCACCCATCATCATCACCCATTATCATCACCCATCATCATCACCCATCATCATCACCAGTGCCCCCCCCCCCTCTTTCGCATTGAGTCTTGGTACGGTCCAAAATGACCACGTGACCCTTCCACCCCGCCCCCTCTCTGCGGTTGATAAGTGGGGTTGCGAAGCAACGGAGAACCCAACGCCGTGCTTCTGATTGGCTGCGCGGGTATTTAACGTCGCCATTCAATTGCTTTGTCTGGGCATCCCTCTTCCTCCCCCCCTTTCAGACCCCACTTACCCCTCCCCCTCCTCTTATCCCACGAGGCCCCTCCCCTCACCCTCCCGAACTCCTTTGCTCATCTCTCACCCCCCAAAACCTTTAGCCTGAACCCAGCAGCCCCCTCCCCTCGTCCCCTGGACCCCCCCCCCTCATCTCCCTACCCCCCCACTCCTTATCCCCCTAACCCCCTCTCCTCACTCCGGCAACAGCCTCTGCCCTCATCCCATTAACCCCTCCCCCCACACACCCACCCATCCCCCCTCCCCTCATCCATCACCCCGGTCTCACGCCCCCCCACCTCTTCACCTTTAATTTCGACCCAAGCTCACCATCAGTAGCATCGGCCATCATCTATCCACTGCTGGATGAAGGAATCTTCAAAAGCCATGGCCATTATCTCCCCGGTTGCTGCGACAATTCGTCTCCCTCTCGCGCACGAGCTCATCTTTATCGCTCCGTCTCCTGCGCGGTGGGCGTCTCTCGGGCGTTTGATCCCTGCCTTGGCTGCCACGCCGTGACCAGTCTCCACCATCGGCGTGACCCAAAGCCCCATTTTACATATAATTCTGCCAGCCCCGCCCCTCACCCTCCCAGCCCCACCCCTTAGCTTCCCAGCCCCGCCCCTCATCCTCCCAGCCCCGCCCCTCACCCTCCCAGCCCCGCCCCTCACCCTCCCAGCCCCGCCCCTCACCCCCTATTGACCCCCCCCCCTCCATGAATCCATGAATTGTCACGATTCCTGCTTCGATCCGATTCACGAGTTTGGTTCACATTAAATAACAAAACAACTCAACAGATTTGTCAATAACATTTAAATAGTAACGAACAGCATAAGTGCATTGAATAGATTTCTTATTTTGTTTAGTGCTGTGAATCACGCACAGGTACAGCACATACCAATAAAACATAACGAATTCATACACTGCGCTCGCTGTAAACCTTGGACTCGATATAACAAAACGAATCGTTGGATCATTGTAAAACACCGAGGTGTAACGATTCGTAAATTAAATCGATTCTCACACTTATGAATTACACCAGAAGGAATCGTTTCTTTCCGTTTCATTTGTATCGCGAAACATGGAGGCAATTACTGAATCGAATCGTGTCCCGGAATCGGTAAAATCAACGGTATCGTGATTGGTTTAATTAATCCAGGGCTGCTCATCTGCTTTACCAGCCCCTCCCCTTGCCCCCCAGCCCCATAACCCCCTCCCCCAGTTTCCCCTCCTCCCCCCATATCGGTGGATTCAGCACCCCCTGTGTGGACAGCGCCCGTGTGAGTGGTGGATATTTCAGGCGGTGGAGTAGGGAGTAGGAGGGAGCAAGGGGGAAGGAGGGAGCAAGGGGGAGGGAGAGAGGGAGGCAGGGAGACGTGACTGGAGTTCGCAACGAGACGAGGCGCCCACTGCGCTCAGGTCTGGCACGGCGAGGCCTCCAGAGCGTTCCCAGCTCTCCCTCTCGTCCTGTTTCACCGGTCCCCCCGACTCTCCCTTCTCTCACACTCTTCTCTCTCCCCGACTCTCCCCGCTCACCCTACTTTCCTACTATCCCCGCTCTCGTGCCCCCCCCCCTCTCCCAGTTCTCCCGCTCTCGCTGCCACTCTTTCCGTCTCCCACTCTCTCCCACTCTCCCATTTCTCCCCATTTTCCCAATTCTCCCCACTCTCCCATTCTCCCACCCTTCAACTTCTCTGTTCTCTAACTCTCCCTGCTCTCCCACTCTACCCAATAATTCCACCATCTCTGCACGGCCAGTTCTCCCTGCACTCCGAGTTCTCCTTGCTCTTTCACTCTTCCTGTCTCCCACTCACCCCCTACTCTCCCATCTCCCCCCCCCCCCCCCCCACCACGCTCTCTCACCGCACAACGAAGAGTGGGAGCCGAGGTGGAAACCGCCCTCCCATGCGTGGGTCGTGCAGGGGCGAGTGAGCGGCGTGGAGTCACCTACAGCGGAGAGGTGATGGCACCCAGTGTGTGCACGTGTGTGTCACACAGTTAAACTTGTATATACAGTACACACACATACACATACAAAGACTCATATCCCCCATAGAGCTTTAGCAGACTGCTAGGGCAAGTGCTGTTATCTCGGCCGTTAGGGTGCACCAGTCGTTTTGTGGGACATCACCATGCCCGGTCGCCTTTGCCTTTCACTGTTTATGCCTACACGCAGCACCAGCTGCCGTGCTCATTTAAAGTCGAGCGCACCGGCCCACCGCCCAGAACCTGTTCAAGAGATGCTACTCGCCATCGATGTTAGCTGTGGCCTGGAATGTAAAAGTAGGGTTGACGAATTCGTAGCGCAGAAGAGATCAGCACTGCGCCACAGTTCCACACTCAGAGTACAGTACAGTACACATACAGGCAGTGTATCCAGTATATATATTCACATGTATGGCACAATATACATACATTGGCATCCTTGCCAGTATTGGGGTTGTCCATGAGAAATCGATGTAATTTCTAAATTTTCCATTTGCTCTACTCGATGTCCTTTTTCTCAATTACTTTTTTTAAAGAGTTCATTATCGTCATGTCCTTGCTGGGAGATAAGTATAATAGATGTTCTCTCTTGTAATCCTTTCCAATGCCAATTTACAAATCATTATCACCTTTGCACAGATATCGCAGTTAGCATGATCATCATCCCGTCTCTGCTCGTTTTTACCTACTTTTGCGTTGCTCGGAAAATACAGCACATGAGTGATGATGACCTCTCACACGCTGTTGTTGTTCCCGTTACACGGTAATATTGCTCAAGAGGGGACAAAGCGAATTATAGGCAATGTCTAATAGATATTTAACAAAACTATAGGTTCAAGGGGTTGTAGTAGACTTTGGACTGCTTCTAAGCACCAGATTAAAATCCCTTCAGAAGCAATGATGATACAAACGGATGTTCTCACCGTGAATTATGAAACCACTGGTGTTGTGTAACGGAACGTGCGCTGAAAGTCGGGGGCAAAGTGGGAAAAAAAAGTCTTGCTTGAATGACATTCATATACATCACATAAATCTGAGCTCAGCAAGTCACGCACGCAGAAGTTTACTCAACGCAATCATTGCTGGAGAGACAGCTGCGTGGAAATCAAAGCAAAATGTGCCCATACCTCGGGAAATTATTCCTAAAGGTGGATCGGGATAAAAAAAATGATGAGACAAAGAGGTGAACAACAGCTGGGATGTGTTTTATTTATTTTTTTAAAAACGGAATTTTACCATTTATGGCCCGGTCGCGTCTGAAACAAGCTTCATAGCTCAGTGGGCCTCACCTGGTAAAATAAAACAAAAATAGTTTTTTCGTTTTTAAAATAGTTTCGTTTAAATAGTTCGTGCCTCGGACCTCTGCCCAGTCACGTTGAGGTTCAGCTGCCGAGCGCCACCGGCGGTTGTGTAGTCGGAGCACGTTGGAGACGTTCTCTCTCTTGCCGAAGCTCGGCTCGAGGTGCCTATGAAAAACGAGATGAGATTGCGGCTTCGCAAGATTGCGAGTAACTGGAACGGAGCGGGGATCTCCTTCATCCAGCGGCGGATAGATAATGGCTGATCCTTATGTCACATGGAAGCCATATTCGCTGATTATGTAAAGCCCTTGAGGATGCTGTGTGTATTTAATTGCAAATGACATGCAAATCCTAATCCAATGATGATGACATAGACATTCACAGGCAAGGACCTTCTTCTGTTTGATACGGGTTCTAGTTCGATTCAAAACTAGATATCAAAATACACAATGCTAAATTATCATTGGCGTCCTTGTAGAAATTATTTGTAATTAAATAGACAAGCAGACATTGTCACGTGTACAATGTGTCTCCCGCATTGTGTCTGCACATTGTACATGAGTATACACTGGTTACTCGGATCAGTGTGCCAACCACTGGCACCACCGCTTTCTCCTGTGGCTCTACCCTCGCAGCAACGGCGGCACTTTTAGAAGGTCAACAGTTCACTTGTGTCCAATCGGGGGGTGGGGGAGGGGAATATTATATAATTTAATAAAAAACTCTCTACGATATGCGTCGGCTGTGGCCAACCAGAACAGAGCCACGGGTTTTTTCTGGGTTAGATCGCGTAAATATAGAAATGTGTCGTCAAACCCGCCACCACCCGACACAGCCAACTAGCAAGGTTTGTCACGTGCCAATTCGTCACTAGTACAGCACACCGGTGTGTTGAAGAGCCAAGCCACAACATTTACAATCTGAGTACGACGTTTCGCCAGTAATTACAACCAGCTTCATCAGGCTTCATGAGCCGACAGCCAGGTTTGTGTTAAACTGACTCTGTGCCCGCTTCACAAACACCAAGGAGGCGTCATCACGGCGACGCGGTCTGCAAATCGCTAAGTGCAACTCTCTGGCTCAACGACCCCAGTGTAAAATGAGCATTGTTGTGCTGCATCGACATGAGCCGTGCACAGAAGACAAAGAAGAACATTGGCAGTCTGCTTTCCCACCTAACACGGATGTACGTTCGGCCCCTCTTCCAATATGCGTTTGCGCATGCGATACGGCCACCATCGAGCCCACGTGATTATACCCCGGTAATACATTTTCTTGGTTTTTTCGGTAAAGTCACGTAGATAGAAAATAAAAATACGTCGTGGGTTTTTTGCTTTTTAAAAATATATATTTTTTTTTATGTTCTATCTACGTGACTTTACCGAAAGAACCAAGAATATGAATGCCTGCAGTCACGAAAGTTTTAAGTCAAAATATACCCGGCAATGTAGTCACTGCACCACTGGTAATGTAGTCACTACACCAATGGTAAAAGTAGTTACTACGCCACTGATAATGTAGTTATAACACCACTGTTAATGTAGTTACTACGCCACTGATAATGTAGTTACTACACCACTGATAATGTAGTCACTACACCACTGATAATGTAGTTACTACGCCACTGATAATGTAGTTACTACGCCACTGATAATGTAGTTACTACACCACTGGTAATGTAGTCACTACACCACTGATAATGTAGTTACTACGCCACTGATAATGTAGTTACTACACCACTGATAATGTAGTCACTACACCACTGGTAATGTAGCCACTACACCACTGGTAATGTAGTCACTACACCACTGGTAATGTAGTCACTACGCTACTGATAATGTAGTCACTACGCCACTGGTAATGTAGTTACTACGCCGCTGATAATGTAGTCACTACGCCACCATCGCTGTCAACCCATTCGGTTTACCCAGTATTCTTGTACCGGGAAATTGAGTTTTTTAGGTCCATACGGCGAAAAGCCTTTTCAATACGTGCAAAAACAGCAATTCTGTTTCTCCCTTGCGATGGGACTTTGTAGGGTGAACATTCAGATGAATAAAGGGCACGAGGTGACCAATAAGGTCTGAATTGGTCTGTAATAAGATAGACACGAGATGCAGATTGTGCGTGGTTGGTTTGATCGTGACGCGCGCTTCTGGCTTAACATTTCGTTTCCCATCACGAGCAAGAGGGTCGGTGACTCGGAGCTCATGTGACCGCAAATTAATTGTCGAGCACGCCCGTCAAATCGTTGAGCAATCAAAACAAGAGGGCGACATTCTTCGCATTCACCGCTGCGCCACGCAGACAAACAACACAAGTGGTCACATTGCCTCGTTGATGTGTGTCTTGCATTAGCCGTGATTTAGTTTCACCTGAGCCCCCTCCCACCCACCGCCTATGACCTCAAAATCGAGAGTTCCCATATAATTATCAAACTAATAATTTGACGATACTGCAGCGGCAGCAGTGCACAGGCACTGGGCATACACACTGCGGGCCTAAAAGGAGACACAATGTATAAAAGGCAACGTTTCGGGCAATGTCGCTTCTTCAGGTATGTCCCGCGAAGCAGGCCCGTCGCCCCAAACGTCACCTATCACATACAACATCACAGTTCAACCTCTCCAAGGCCACAGTGTTATTGCCAAATGTCTTGCATTGATGCGAATCTCACTTTGTTGACCCTACCCCCCTGCCCCCCACCCCCACCTGTGCCCGCCGGCAGGTGAGAGAGAGAGAGGTGGGGTGGGTGCGGGGAGTCGGGTGAGCGCTGCTGGTGGAGATGTCTCGCGTCAAGCAGGTGGGGCTGCTGGCTGCCGGGTGCCAGCCGTGGAACAAAGACGTGTGCGCGGCCAGCGGAGGCCGCTTCGCCTACTGCGCTACGCTCGCCATCTACGTGTACGAGGTACATCACGCCCAGACGGCCGACATCGGTGCGCCGTTTCGGATAGAAGTCCCAGCGCGTGTGTGGGCGTGCGATTGCGGCGCAACGATAATGGACTCGGCTTCGTGGTGCTGCGCCGCCGCCGCACGCGCGGTTACTCGCTTCTTTGATCTCGTAGAGAGAGGGAGAGAGAGAGGGGGGGCGACTCGAGGCACGACCGAGGAACCACAGATGAGCGAGAAGGCAGCAGCAGCCACGCGGCGAGCTGGTGTTATCAACAATTGCCCAAGTTCTGCAGTCCTCTCTAAATTAATGTCATTGGCCAATTAATGCATGTTACATTTGGGAGGAAAGCGGAGTGCCCGGAGAAGACCCGCGCGTGCGAGGGGGAAACACTCTATCCCTTAGAGTCCACACTTTGCTGTACTGCCTTCTGCTGGCGAGCCAGAGTTTATCACCTCGATGCCCACTGGAAGGGAGTTTCACAACATTTGTACGAGCCACCAACCCTGGATTGCAGACCTGCGCGACCACTGCATGGACAGCCTCGCATATCCACTCTGACCAATTATCGGGCCTCACCCAGGTGTGGTGGTGATAGCGCGGCGTAACCGTGTCACTTTCGAGACACGTTCACCTGTCTGACATTTTCACAACGGGTCATGTGTTCTTAAACGCGGTGTTATGTCCCCGGGTTAACTCTGGATAAATGTCAGCAACCGGATGGATGTTCCAACATTCTGGGTTCGCTCACTTCATTTGCAAAAAAAAATCCACGGGTCAGTTGGGGTGGCGGATAACAAAAGCCATCGGGGTGTCGAGGTGGAGAAATGGAAGTCGTGGGTTCAATCCAAACCCTGACGTCTGCTCTTTATTTGGAGTTTCCATGTTCTCCCCGTGGTCTTGAGTATTTGTCTCCAGGTCCTCCGGTTTCTCCCTCCACGTTCAGAATCGACGTGCGCTTAAGAGTATTTGCCTGCCATAAATTGCCACGTGACGTTAATAAGCCACTTCGTTGAGCTATCATTTGTGGTCAGGTCGCTTCTGAAAAAAATCTGTTCAGCTCAGTGGGCCTTACCTGGTTCCATATAATTTTTGTAAAAAAAATAATTTATAATAATAGCGTAACGGGTGAAAGGAATTCCACCGCGTGACGCCGCCTGCGCTTGCCGTTGCCCGTCAGCTGGACCAGCGCTACAATGAGTTCAAGCTGCGCGCCATCATGTCCGAGCACAAGAAGACGATCACGGCGATCGCGTGGAGCCCGCACAGCGCCGACGTCTTCGCCAGCGCCAGCGCCGACAGCCTCCTCGTGGTGTGGAACGTGGCCGAGCAGCGCGTGGTGGCGCGGCTAGACGCCACTAAAGGTGGGCACACGGCGGGGGGGGGGGGCTAGGCGGGGGGGGGGCTAGGCAGTGGGGGGCTAGGGGGCGGGGGGGGCTAGGGGGCGGGGGGGGGCAAGGGGGCGAGGGAGGCATGGGGGCAATGGGAACACGTGGGCATGGAGGGCATGGGGGATACAGGGGGCACGGGACATGGAGATACGGGGGCACACGGGGACACGGGGGATATGGGGCACGGGGGGCAAGGGGGGGGCAAGGGGGACGTGGGTGCGGATGGGGGAAATGAGGGATACGGGGGGCACAGGGGGACACTTTGAGACATCGTTATAGAACACGCGGCACGCACATCGCAACAAAGTGCATCCAACTACGATGTGGTTCTCAACACTGGTGAGGTGCCTCACCCCCAATCCAGAATAATGGTCCCTGAGTCTCTCTCCAGTCACAAAAAGCCACCATCACAGAGACAGCTCGCACGCGGTGCTAAGTTCTTCGCTTGTTCACACGATTCGCGTTGTGCCTTGGCAATGTGGCGGCTGTCATTCCCCGCTGCGCACACTGCAGCCTACACGCACCCTTCCTCCTGGAAGGTACAGCAAGCAGCAAGCCGCTGCTTGTGATGGAAACAACAGAGATCGTGCCAGGGTCGAACGAGAGGTTGCAAACCACAATTTCGCCGATATTGTTTGCTGTCGCGAGCATGGACGTTGTTGCCGTTGTCGTCATCGGGTTTTTTTTCTTTCATTTTGAACGCGCGTGCGTCATACGATTTGTGCGTTCCGCGTTAATTGCACAAACGGGGCAACTGCTTATGAATGTCGTGTCGCGTTGTGCCGCACGAGGTCCCCTCGTCACCGCCGCCTCGTGTGCAGGAGGAGCGGTGACGAGGGGAGGGCCCCGTGTGCTCACCAAGACGGGCGGCCAGATGCTGTTGTTGCCCAGACCCTGGCAGCTTTTCCATGTATATTTTTTTTGGGGGGGGGGACACAAATTACAATCAATTTGTACTGATTTTTTTTTTTTATCGACGCTAAGTCAAATGACAGTGCAATTTTTTTAATTAACAAACATTTGTCTGGGCCATTGGTGCATATTCCACATTCCCGTGGCAGGAACGAAGAGTCCATCCGTAGAAAAAGAACTGTCGACTTCGCCGCAGAGCGATGCTCATTTTTCATTTTCACACCCCCCGGAGGGATGCCAGCCTGAGTGGACCCACAACGAGGATGTTAACTCGGGACGTTTGGACTGTGGGTCGCTGGCTCGTCCGCTGAGACACGTGGCCGCATCAAAAGTGTAGTCAGGGGTTTGAACCTGGGTCGCGAGCTTCAGGGGCAGCCGTGCCCTCCTTTTCCTCCCCGTCCTCCTCCCCCCTCCCTCCCCCTCAATTCCCCCCTCCACCCCCTCCTCTCCCTCCCTCCAGCCCTCCTTCCCTTCTCCTCTCCCTCCCCCCTCGTCCTCCTCCCTCCTCCCTCCCCCTCCTCCCCCTCTTCCTACCTCCCTCCTCCCCCTACCTCCCCCTCCTCTCCCTCCCCCCTCCTCTCCCTCCCCCCTCCGGCCCTCCCCCTCCTCCCCCTCCCTCCTCCCTCCCCCTCCTCCCTCCCCCCTCCTCCCCCTCTTCCTCCCTCTCTCCTCCCCCTACCTCCCCCTCCTCTCTCTCCCCCCTCCTCTCCCTCCCACCTCCTCTCCCTCCCCCCTCCAGCCCTCCCCCTCCTCCCCCTCCCTCCTTCCCTCCCTCCCTTTCTTACCCCCCCACCCCCACTGTGAACCAACTCACACGCCTGCCCCCTCGCTGCCCCCCCCCGCCCCGCGGCAGGCGTGCCGGCGTCGGTGAGCTGGTGCTGGAACGCGGGCGACGCGGTAGCGTTCGTGTCGCACCGCGGGCCGCTCTACGTGTGGACGGCGAGCGGCGCCGACGGCGGCGTCGTCATGCACAAGGAGGCGCACTCGTTCCTCTCCGACATCTGTCTCTTCCGCTGGCACCCGCGCAAGGCCGGCAAGCTCGTGTTCGGCCACACCGACGGCAGCCTCTCCATCTTCCAGCCAGGTACCCGCGGCGCTGCCCGAGCCGAATCGCGCCGCACGGAATTCACACTTCGACGTTGATTCACGTCTCGGCAATTTCGATTTTTTTAAAATGTTTTTTTGTTGCACTGGTTTCTCTTTGTTTCATTGTTCGCTTTGCTTTCGTCGTTTTTTTCTGGTGACCCAGTTCGCTCTTGCAAATGCGACTCTATCCCCGTCTCTTTGAGTCTTGGTTAAACGGAATAAACGTTCAGCTTGAGAGTGGCAGCAATAGGTCAGGATTGGTGAGGGCCGGTTACCGAGACACGAGACAGCCATTGGAGTGGTCACCTCGATTCCAGCGACCAGGGGGAAGACCGAAGTCCTCACGGTGGGGACACTGCCAGGGCAGATCTTGCAGGTCGTGCGTCTACTCCGCAGCAGCTGTGGGAGCTGTGGGAGGGTGGGATGCGTCGTCGATGAGGTGTGGGTGGTTTGCATCGACGGCTTTGGCCACGGTGACGTCTTCATCTTGAGCGATAGTTGATCAGTGACAGGTTAGGGTTGGTCAAATATTTAATGGAGATTTGTGGTTGTGATTTAGTGCTTTTTCTTTAGAACTGCTGTTGATGTTTTAGTTTGTTGTCCTTCCCCTGCACCTCCGATTTTGCACGGTTGGCTACGTACGGCGCGAAAGAAGTTCAACATACGTGACGTTGCTGCTTCAGGGCTATTTTGTTCCACCCACTCCCACCCCGTGTTGCCCCCGTGCTCGCATCTTTCCCTGCCGACCGTGATTACGCAATGTGGTCGGAATGACGTGGAAACAGTTTGTTTGGAAAATGTTTCGTGATTGATTTAACAACGTATCGCGACCTGGCAAAAATGACGACGGGATCAAGAGTACAGAACTGAGATCGGACACACGGAATTATGGGATTGCCAATTTATTAACTAAATAACTCATGGATTGGCCAATCGAGTAACTAATGTATTGACGAATAGCCTAACTCATTGAATAACTACCTAGCGAACAGATTGACCGTATAAGTGATCTATCAATTGACTGACTGTTTAAATCACTGACCTACTAACTGACCTATCGCACAACTGACTGACCAACCCGCCGGCTCACCGACTATCCGAGCGGATCGTCTAACGGTGCACGCACGTGCGTATGTGTGCACACACACGTGCGTGTGTGTGCCTGTGCGTGCGTGTGCCTGTGCGTGCGCGCGTGCGTGTGCGAGGTTGGAAGAGCCAGAAGCACGTGCTGCGCCCCGAGTCCCTGGAGGGCACAGGACGAGGAGGACCCCGTGACGGCGCTCGAGTGGGACCCCCTCTCCACCGACTACCTCCTCGCCGCCAACCTGCACAACGGCATCCGCCTGGTGGACGCCGACTCGCTCGTGTGCATCACCGCCTTCGCCCTGCCCGGCGCTGCCGCCTCCGTGCAGTGCCTCGCCTGGGTGCCCAGCGCGCCCGGCATGTTCGTCACGGGCGGTGAGTGCCGGGACCTCGCCGGGCCTTGCCGGGTGCCCCTCTCCGTCGGCCCCCGTGTGCTCTCAGTGTGTCCTCTGTGCCTCCTGCCAGACCCCGCGTGCTCTCAGTGTGTCCTCTGTGTCCCCTGTCAGGGCCCCGTGTGTTCTCAGTGTGTCCTCTGTGTCCCCTGCCAGGCCCCGTGTGTTCTCAGTGTGTCCTCTGTGCCCCCTGTCAGGGCCCCGTGTGTTCTCAGTGTGTCCTCTGTGTCCCCTGCCAGGCCCCGTGTGTTCTCAGTGTGTCCTCTGTGCCCCCTGTCAGGGCCCCGTGTGTTCTCAGTGTGTCCTCTGTGTCCCCTGTCAGACCCAGTGTGTTCTCAGTGTGTCCTCTGTGCCTCCTGCCAGACCCCGTGTGCTCTCAGTGTGTCCTCTGTGTCTCCTGCCAGGCCCCGTGTGTTCTCAGTGTGTCCTCTGTGTCTCCTGCCAGGCCCCGTGTGTTCTCAGTGTGTCCTCTGTGCCTCCTGCCAGACCCCGTGTGTTCTCAGTGTGTCCTCTGTGTCCCCTGTCAGACCCCGCGTGTTCTCAGTGTGTCCTCTGTGTCCCCTGCCAGGCCCCGTGTGTTCTCAGCGTGTCCTCTGTGTCCCCTGCCAGACCCCGTGTGCTCTCAGTGTGTCTTCTGTGTCTCCTGTCAGACCCCGTGTGCTCTCAGTGTGTCCTTTATGTCTCCATCAGACCCTGTGTGTTCTCAGTGTGTCCTCTGTGTTTTCCCTCAAGACCCGTGTGCTCTCAGTGTGTCCTCTGTATCTCCTGCCAGGCCCCGTGTGCTCTCAGTGTGTCCTCTGTGTTTTCCCTCAGGACCCATGTGCTCTTCAAAGGTGGTTAGCCTTCCCAGCGTGTCCCCTGTGCCTTGATGATTATCGATTGACTGATTACTTGATTATAATAAACCTCTAACCCCAACCCCAGGTCCCTGTAACAATGTGTGGATAGACAAGCGAATGTATCATAATCCCCTCCTGTACCCTTGTCTCCCCATGCCCCTGTGTCTCACTGTCTCTCCTATGTCCCTGTTTCTATTTCCTCTTGTCTCCCCACATCCCCCGTGTCCCTCCATGCCCCCACGTCTTCGCATCTGTATCTCCACATCTTTGTGTCTCCTTGTCTCCCCATGTCCCCATTTCTGCACATCCCCGTGTATCCATGTCTCCCCATGTCCCTGCGTGTCCGCATCCCCTCCTCGTCCCCGTGTCTCCCCCCGCATCCCCGTGTCGTCTCCACGTCCCCGTGTCATCTCTCCGCGTGTGCAGACTCCCAGGTGGGCGTGCTGCGCGTGTGGAACGTGTCGCGCACGACGCCGCTCGAGCACTTCAAGCTGAAGAAGACGGGATTCCACGCGCTGCACGTGCTCAGCTCGCCCCCGCGCCACAAACGTAACTACGCCGCCGATCGCTGTCTTTGACTTGAACGTGCGAGCTCGATCCATCCGTGTGTCTTTAACAGAGGGGCACGTTAAATTTTTGCAGTCAATTTGTGTTGCCGTTATGGTTAACCGGCCGATTTCATCAGTGGATTTGGCAAAACAAAGACGAGCGCCGCACGGATTGACCCCCTCTGCGCCGCCTGGGGCTGCCTCGTGACCTCTTGACCTTAACCCCTGACCGTGCCCCTTCCCCCACTTCTGCCCCGCCCCCCCCCCTTTCTCGCACCCGTGTTTGCCAGCGGTGCCGCGGGAGTCTCCGACGAGGGGCCAGCACACGTCGTCGACGAGCGAGGCGGTGCCGCCCCCCACGTGGTCCCAGAGCCGCGCGTTTTCCCTGCCCCCCGGCCACGCCGTTTGCTGCTTCATGGACGGAGGCGTCGGCCTCTACGACATGGGCGCCAAGAAGTGGGACTTCCTGCGCGACCTGGTGCGTGCGAGTTCGATTCCCGCTCGCCGACGGTAACGGCGTCGAATGTTTGAACCGGCCCCCCCCCCCCCCCCCCCCCGGGGCCTCCCCTATAGGTCGACCCGGTCTTGCAAACTTATACACGGTGGAGACAAAGGTGGGCCAGGTGTGGCGCCGGCAACACCACCCGCTCGTGTGCCCTGCCACCCAGGGTCACGTGGAGACGATCTTCGACTGCAAGTTCAAGCCGGACGACCCGAGCCTGCTGGCGACGGCGTCGTTCGATGGCACCGTGAAGGTGTGGGACATCAACAGCATGCGCGCCGTACACACGTCGCCCGGCAACGAGGGGGTCATCTACTCGCTCTCCTGGGCGCCCGGTACGGCCCTCCCCACGCTTGCACTCCCCTCTGACTTCTCCGGTCTCTCGCGTGACGCTTCCCCCGCCCCCGCTCACTCCCGCGAACTCTCCCCACTATTTCCTGTGAATTTTCCTGTCTCTCGCTTGATTCTTCCCTCTCCCACTCCCATGAGTCCTGCTGTCCCTCCTCCTCCTCTCTCTTTCCTGCATTCTCCAGTCTGCCCGCGTGTGTTCATGTGCGCGCGAGGATACGCCTGCATGTACGGCGTGCCTGTGTGTGTGTGCAAGCTGGCACGGTGGTGTAGCGGTTAGCGCCACGCTGCGCTATGAACCCGGCGACCCGGGTTCGATTCCCGCTCATGGCCAACACCGGTGACGATTATCTGAACCGTTCCTGGGCCTCCCCTAGGTCGAGTCGGCTTCAAATGAGTACCCGGTGCGGTGTGTAAACATCGCCACTGGGGAGACAAAGGCGGTCGGGCGTGGTGCTGGCCACCCACCCCTTCGTGTACCGTTCTGGCCATTATAGGTGCTCGCTAACAGCACTTGCCCCTACAGTCTGTTAAGGCTATACGGGGGGTCTTTGTCTCTTTGTCTTTGTGCAAGCTGGCACAGTGGGCTCCACAGGTGATTCATCTGCCCTTCATCCTTCGAGCGCTGATTGAAAACTCAGTTCTTCAGAACTGCTTTTCGTGTTCAGTTTGTTAACCTTCGCCCCCGGCTCCAATGAGCATGATTGGCTATGTACGGTGCCAAAGAAGTTCCACATACATACCTAGCCTGGCACATCAGTCAACCCATAACACCTGGGTCTGCTCCGTGACCTCCTGCCAGCAGCAAGAGCCTTCCACACTGTGACAAACTCAAAGTACACCTAGCCTGGCACAAGCACCTTGGCGAGGTCATCGCCGCTCATTGGCGAATAGCGGCTGTCATCAATGTTGGTGCGTGTACGTGCGTGTGCATGTGTCCGTGTGTGTACGTGTGTGTCCATGCACGTACCAACGTGTCCGTGCATTACGCGTGTGTGTGTGTGTACGTGCGTGCGTGTATGTGCGCTCGCCCACCCGCTCACAGCGGACCTAAACTGCATCGCTGGCGCCACGTCTCGGAACGGCGCCTTCATCTGGGACATCAAGAAGGGCAAGATCATCACGCGCTTCAACGAGGTCTCGTGCTCCGCACTCGCTTATCGCTCTCTCTCACGCTCTCTCACTCACTCACTCTCTCCCACCCTCGCTCTCTCACTCACTCTCTCGCTCTCTCACTCACTCTCTCCCACCCTCGCTCTCTCCCGCCCTGCAAACGTCGCCGCAGTTTTGTCGTCGGCAGCTGAGAATGACGACGCAACCCAATGGGGACCGCCTTAGTGAGGCTCTCCTGGGCATCATTGCCAACATAATGATCATTGTCGTCGTCAGTGTCTGTAAAACGCCACTCCTGCTTTGAAATGGAATTCGCCAAACCGTGAGGATGAATAAGGGTCATCCTCATTATTATTATAATTCAACGCTGTGATGCTTTTCAAAATATAATTATTTAATGGAGGAGGGGGCCCGGAGGGGTGGAGTGACGGTGGAGTGGTTAGCGGCGCTGTAATATGAACCCAGCGGCAGAGTCATTTCTACACCGGTTCTGCCGGCCTCTTCACCAACCCCGCACTGACTCGTGAAGTCTCAGTCAAACGACCCCCACCGGCACCGGTGTGGAGAGGCCTTCATCCAGCAGTGGATCGACAAAGGGGCGGTGCTGCCGTGGTGGTGTGCTCGCCCTTCGCCGGTCGGCTGATTCGCGCCGTCGTGTGGACCGTGGCTCAGCATCGCCCGCCCCCTTCCGCTACGGGGGGCGCTCACGCGGCCTCGTTGGCAGAGGATTCGCGGTTCGATCCCGGCGCCCGCCCCGGTTAACACCTGCGGCGCGAATCGACCATTATCGTACTTCCGTGCCGTCCGCTTCGTGCACAGTGGTGGCGTCACGGGTCCAAATTCTTCCGAATGACGCCGTGAATTACTGAATTGGGATTACACAGCGGAATCAAATCATCTCTCTCCTCCCCCCCCGCCCCCTACTGGCAGGCTAAGGCCGTGCTGGGTCGCATTGTACCTTAGCTGCCAATGTGGGTCGTTCTATTAAATGTTTGACGCGAGTTGGGATGTAAGTCGCTTATCCGCGGGGTGTACAAGCGATCTGAGACGCCCTGGAGCTGTATCGGCAACTAAACCGTTGCCGTTGTTATTCTGATAGTTGCCGTCCGCGTGTCCCCTGCCCCCCACCGTTTGCCGTTCAGCACGGCAAAAACGGCATCTTCTGCATCGCGTGGAGCCACAAGGACTCGAAGAGGATTGCCACATGCAGCGCCGATGGATACTGGTGAGCGAAGTGGAACCCACACTCTAGGTCGGATTAATATCAATAATATATATTTTTAACCTATCATGTCTTTCATGCAAAGCTGCGATGCTGTAGAAGATGACAGCGGGAAAATGAAATAACGAAAACAAATCTTGCACCTCGCAAGACACACACAGCACACCCAAACCGAGGTCAACGTGATTAGAGGGCTGGCTCCTGGCGCTCGCCCGACCCCGTTTGTCTTCTCAAAGCAAACGATGCCTCATTACTTTTCAGCGCCCCCCCCCCCCCCCCCCCAGCTACGACCAGTCCTATCCCAACCGCTCCATATCAATCCCTCTCGTTCCACTGTCATCAAAACTACACCACCGCCACTTACAATAACCCATTCATCCATTTCAAAGCGTTATCATCCTTTGCACAATTTTCAAATTGCTGTCAAAGCGCCTGGGTAAAATCTCGATAGGACAAGATGAATGCGGACTGAAATATTGGACTGGACTTTAAATTGCCGAATATGCGATCCACTCCGTGGGAGTTGCACCTGCTGTCTTGCATTGAATTTTAGGCTGAATGAGCAGCTCCATACTGGATGTGTTATAGTTTACGGAGGGGAGGGTCCTTTTCGTAAATTCATTTCCGCCCTCCCCCCACACACAGTCGCCCACGCGCAACGCCAAATGCTCCGCTGTTATTGTTCACCTTGGTTACTTGAGTTCTAGGGTTTTGAACGTGATGTCATGAATCGTAAAGCCAAATCGAAGTTAAAACGCACAAAACGATTTGAATTTCGGGATGTAACTGGTGGCAATGCACACAGTTGATGTGAGCGATGGCTTTCGTTTATAATATATATCAAAGTGTCACCGGCCATTTGTTGAGTGGTTACATGTGTGAAGAAACCCAGACGACGCGGAGAAAACCTGCGCATGCTAGGGGTCAACACTTTATCCCATACAGATGGAACAGATCGAGTCCACATGTTTCTCTACCGCATTCTGCTGGCAAGCCAGGCTACGGCACCTCCTAGATCGTGTGATCCACCAACCATCGCCTCCACGGCGCTGGATTACAGGCGTGCCCCACTACAGGCTGGATATCTTGTGAATTGTTGCGCCTGGATCATGACAATTCATCCAAGTGTAGTGGCATAGAATAAGTTGTGTAGCAGCATAGCGCCGGCTGCTGGCGGGGAAGGGGATCTGTGGCTTACAGCAGCCCTGACGTCAGCAGGCCACGTGATACACCAGAGGGGATATCTGGGGGAAAGGTCACAGATGGGGCACGTGGGGGAATCCCGGGAAGCCGCTGGTAGGTTCTAGAGAGGGGCGTGGCCGGGGCGGAGCGAGGCCACGCTGGGAGCATAAAAGGGGGCCCTGAGTGAGAGCTCGGGGCTGTCGTATGGAGTGGGATCCCCGTCGTGCTGTTGAAGATCGTCACCATCGTCGCTGTCGTCTCAACTCCATCGTCGCTGTCGTCTTCACTCGACATTGCGCTGCTAGACGGTAGTTTGCTGTCTCGGTTCAGCGCCGTCAGTGTTAGACGGCTAGGGTTGTGTATAGGCTAGCAACTCACGTAGAGTTGTGTATAAGCGAGCGACAGAAGAGTGTGTACCAGCGTAGGCTGTGTGTTGTACCCAGGATGCTCGTTAAATAAAAGAAGTGCCTCCAACTATTAACATCTCCGAGACAGTCACTACATAAGCACAAGGAGTTGGAATCTTTACATGCCAAGTTACCATGTCTCTCTTACAATTAACATCTTCCATCATCTGCTGGGGTACACATATACATTCTATTCTTCAAATGAACAACGAAACATTTTAGATTATTAGATTAAAAAAATAATTACGCGGTATTTTTGCACGGAACGAGCTGTTGTTAGTGAATGTTTGTTTTACAAATTTGCCAAATTATTTTTGTTGTTGCTGTTGCTGCTGCTGCTGAATCAAATGGCGTCCCCCTCCCACCCCGCCCAGCATCATCCGCACGGTGGACGGGAAGGTTCTGCACCGCTACCGCCACCCGGCCGCCGTCTTCGGCTGCGACTGGAGCCAGAACAACAAGTGAGATGGAGGGAAGCCGCTTCGCCAAAGGCCCTGGTGATGGGGGGGGGGGGGCGAGGAGATGCGACGAGTGAAATGTGGAAAGCATGCGACTTAAACTGTAAAATAAACTATTTTTATTTTACCAGGTAAGGCTCCCACTGAGCTACGTAGCTCTTTTTCAGAAGTGACCAGGCCACAAATGACAGCTCAGCGAAGTGGCTCATCGCGTGGAAATTTATAGCAGCCAAATACTCAAAATGCATGTTCATTCTAAACGCGGAGGGAAAAACCGGAGGAGTCGGAGAAAAATCCACGCGACCACGAGGAGAACGTGCAAACTCTACATATACAGGCATGGGGGGTCGGGATCGAACCCACGACCTCCTGCATACCCGGAGAGGGAGTTAACATCTCGCCACCGCGGCGTCCCAACTTATGAAGAAACACATTTGAAAACTGGAAGGGCCTCGGTCTATGCCACAGAGAGTGGATGGTTGCCGTGTTCTCCGGATTATAAGACGCTCCGTAGAGTAAGATGGCACCCCAAACTTGTGGCCAGCGTCGATATAGTTACACAAATGTGGTCACTCACACCCACCGATCGGATTATAAGATGATATTTGGCGTGTTGGGCAGAGTTATACAAATCTTAAACATTTGTATCTTTAAGATTTGCATATCTGAAACAGAATAATTAAAGCTTGGAATGTCTTCGGCCTGTGAGAATTAGTTGGGCCTAGGCCCACGTTCACAAGATGACATCTGTGTTGTTTTGGAGGGGGCAGCGGGAGGGGTTGGGGCTGCATCTTCCCGGCAGTGGCTCTAAACGCTCGCTCGCTCGGTCGCTCCGCAGGGACATGATCGCGACGGGCTGCGAGGACCGCAGCGTGCGCGTCTACTACCTGGCCACGAGCTCCGAGCAGCCGCTCAAGGTGTTCACGGGCCACACGGCCAAGGTGTTCCACGTGCGCTGGTCGCCGCTGCGAGAGGGCATCCTGTGCAGCGGCTCCGACGACGGGTGAGTGAAGCCGTCCCCCCAATGTCCCCAGTTTGGCCGGGACGGTTCTCATCGTGGCCTCCCGAACTCGCGTGTGTGTTGTGTGTGCACGTGGACACACGCGCACGCATGCACGAGCGTTAACACCCGCGAATTGCCCCGCGTGTGTGTGTGTGTGCAGCACGGTGCGCATCTGGGACTACACGCAGGACGCGTGCATCAGCGTGCTGGCGGGGCACCAGGCGCCTGTGCGAGGCCTCATGTGGAGCCCCGAGGTGCCGTACCTGCTGGCGTCGGGCAGCTGGGACTACTCGATCCGCGTGTGGGACACGCGCGACAGCACCTGCCTCGACACCGTGGCCGACCACGGCGCCGATGTCTACGGTGAGGGGATCGGCGCTGTCATAAACCGCTACCACCACTGCCGTGATCATCGCCGTCATAACACCGGTGACGATTGTCTGAATTGATGCCGGGCCTTCCCAAGGTTGACTGGTGCGGTGTGTAAAATCATCGCCATTAGGGATACAAAGGCGGCCGGGCTTTGTGGTGGCCAACCACCCCCTCGTGTGCCGTGCCGGCCTTCATAGGTGCTCGCTAACAGTACTCGCCCCAACAAACAGCCTGTTCAAGCTATAGGGGGGGATCTTTGTCTTTGCGTTTTAGTTCACACGTGTTTGTGTCCATGTGGATGCAGGCCTCACGTGCCACCCGAGCCGGCCGTTCACCATGGCCTCGTGCTCGCGCGACTCCACCGTGCGCCTCTGGTCACTGGCACCGCTTGTGTCGCCGCTCATGATCAGCATCCTTGCCGAGAGGCCCTGGGACGAGATCATCGGCAACACCGGTGAGTGTGCCCCCCCCCCCCCTCTAGTGATGTGTGTGTGTGTGTCAGCCCCTCTAGCCATCTATGTGTGTGTTCCACCCTCTTCGCATTCCTGCCACCCCCTCTAGTCTTGTGTGTGCCTACCCCTCACGTCCGTTGTGTGTTTGTGTCCCGGCCCCATCAGTCGTGTTGCTTGCCCCTGTGTTCACGTGCTGCTCCACCCCCTCTAGGCTCGTGCGCCACCCCCTCTCGCTATGCGTGTGCCACTGTCCGCTCAAGCCACGTGTGTGATGCCGCACCCTCTAGTTATTTGCGCATGTGCCACCCTTCCAGCCACGTGCGTGCCGCCCCCTTCTGACATTTTAATGCTTGCCCCCCTTAACGCGGCCATCCTCGCTATAAGTCAGAGGTCGCAACCGGGTACCCGATACCCGTACCCTACCCGATACCCGGCTATCCGTACCCGGCCAGGTACGGGTACCCGTTTGCGACCCTGGTGCGGCCGGGTACGGGTAGGCCGTGAGTCACAGGTGAGTAACCGTTTGTCACTCATTTCGGGTAGGGTACGGGTACGGGTAGGGAACGGGTACCTTTACCCGGCCGGGTACGGGTACTCATTTGCGACCCTGGTGCGGCCAGGTACGGGTAAGGAATCAAAACCCGTTTGCGACCTCTGCTATAAGTGCCGCCTCCTTCAACCCCCGAGTGCCGCCACCCCCCTCCTCCCTCCATGAGCGCTGCGCCCAGCTGTGCTGAGTGCTGCTCCCCCCGGGGGCACGGGCGCTGTCCGTGCGCCCACCGCTGACCGCTGCTGATGTCCCTGTGCCGCTTCGCCGTGCTGCTCCCCAGAGCGGGTGATGTCCCCCGGCGCCCCCCCGCTGCTGTGCGGCAAAGCCTCCAAGGACATCAGGCAGGAGGTGGAGAAGCTGGGGGGTGACGCGCACGCCAAGAAGCTGCGCTGGTTCTCCGAGTTCTTCTCCGTGAGTTGCCCCCACGGCACCGGCGTGTGTCTGTGTGTCTGTGTGTGTCCGTCCTGTGGGGAGCGGTCGTGTAGTGGTTAGGACGCTCGCGCTACGAACCCGGCGACCCGAGTTTGATTCCCGCTCATGGCCAACACCGGTGATGAATATCTAAATTGGTCCTGAGCCTCCCCTAGGTCGACTCGGCCTCAAATGAGTAACTGGTGCAATGTGTATTGCCACTGGGGAGACAAAGGCGGACAGGTGTAGTTCTGGCCACCCCCACTTCCTCGTGTGCCATGCCGGCCTTCATAGGTGCTCGCTTACAGCACTTTCCCCAACAATCTATAAGGCTATATTCGGATAATTTTTGTTGTTTTGGTAAATATCTGTGGGTACCCATGCATACCCGCACCTGTTTGTGTGTACCTATCCACGTGTACCTGTGTGTACCTTTGCATACCTACCTGTCCACGCATACCAGCTCGTACCTACCCGTGGGCATTAGCATGGCCCAGCGCCGTCCGCTTAACAGTGGACGTTGAAAGATCCCCAGACGGAATTCGCAGAAGTTGGCGCTGTCACGTGCCGGCGTCAGGTCCCACATTCGCCAAATCCGAAGGTCACACAACCGCAGATTATCATCGCCCCGCCACGGGCAGACCAGCACTCGTCTGCCTCTTTCTTTCTCTCTCTCTCTCTCTCTCGAGCCTGTCGCCCCGGTTCAACGAAGCGCGCCCGACACCCGGACGGGAACGTTGTTGTTGTTGTGCGCGCTGCGACGCAGCCGCCGGGCGGCAGCAGGAACCTCTGGGACCTGGTGGCCGTGCTCCGTGGCCAGGATGACGGCACGCTGCCCCCCGACTACGCCAAGGGCATCATGCACATGCGGCACCTCGTCAAGTACAAGACGGTACCCTCGTCGCCACCCCCTCCGCTTCGTGTCGCTTGCCCCCCCCCCCCGCTCCCCTACCCCCCTGCCCCCCCCGCCCCCCCCCCCCCGCCGCCCCCTCCTCGTGTGACCGAACCGCGCCACGGCTACGTTGGGCCGGGCTGGTCTCGGGAATAAACCCACGACGTAATTTACAATTCGAGCACGCGACGTTTTCGCTGGTGATTGCAACCACCAGCTTTGTCCGGCGATTTGCCGGGATTGCGAAGAAGTCTTCACGTTTATATTTACGCGATCTAACCCAAAACACAAAAAGTTTATCACGGATAGCGTTGGTCGCGAAAGCAGACTTCGCGTTAACCTGCGCTCGGGAGTCAGCCAGGTCATTGTTTTTTAAGCGCACTGCGCAAGCCGAAAGAATGGAGGAGGAATCCGATGAGCTATTAAGCTCTTTCATTTCACAGATGTGCGGGAGGGACGGATCAGAAAGTTACAACAACAAACACTACAACAAACACACGATAGGTGTGAAAAGTATAGGTAAGCGTGTCACGATAAATAAATGAATGCGATATATAAGTACAAGTTGCGTAAATACATACATTGCTGCCGATTTTTCAACACTTAGTGCAAGTAGGTAACATTTTTTTTTTAAGTTGTTATTTGTTTATTTTTTACCTACATGACTTTACCGAGAAAAAAAAACTAAGAGTATGAATCCTAGCAGTCACGAACGCTTCAAATCTAGAACTAAGTGCAAGCTTGAGCATGGCAGACGAACAACAAGAGTCCCAGATCACACCAAGACAACACGCAGTCCCTCAATAACATTGCACAGGGAATGAGTCGTAAATGCGTGTGGGTGACGGACGGTGCCGAAGCGGTGTGTCCGCACGGTCTCACACCGGCCGACGCCACGTGCAGAGAAAGTGTCGTCAGCTGCCGCTTGGCCCCAAGCCGGATTCAGATGTCTCCTTGCGAGGCCGGCGTGCCACGCTTTGGTTCCAGCAAATAGGCAGTGGAAAAAACCACCCGTACCGTGAGGGTACCATGCTGGAGTGACTCGGATGTTTCCCCCCCCCCCAATCACCTAATTACACCGTCCCTCTTTCTGTGCAGACCTCTTTTCCCCCCTCCTTCCTATTCTTCACCTACTTCCTGTGACGCCCCCGTACTATTCTTCTCCCGCTTCCTGTTTTTACACACTTCCTTAATGTGCCGACCCCCTCCTTGTGCCACCCTCCTCCTGTGCTGCCCTCCCTCATGCTCACTCTTCCCGTTGTTCTTCTCTCCTTCCCTCCCCTGTCCCTCGCGTGCAGTCAGAGGCGCAGGAGCTGACCACGGTGAAGATGTCTAAGTTCGGCGGGGGGATCGGGGCGCCCAGCAAGGATGAGCGCCTGCAGGAGGCGGCGCAGATTCACCTGCGCCTGGGCCAAATCCAGCGCTACTGCGAGCTCATGGTGGAGCTGGGAGAGGTGCGGCGCAAGGGATGTGCACTCACGCGCGTGCGCACGTGCGCACTCGTCCGACCCTCCTGTCAAACGGCTGGATGAAGGGTTCTATAAACTATAAAGCAATTTGTTTTATTTTATCGGATAAGGCCTCACTGAGCTATACAGCTCTGTTTTTTCAGAAGCGACATGGTCACAAAAGATAGCTCAACGAAGTGGCTTGTCATTGTGTGGACATTTATAACAGCCAAACACTCTTAAACCCACGTTGATTCCAAATGTGGAGGGGAAAACCTGAGGACCTGGAGAAAAATCCACGCGGCCACGGGGAGAAAATGCAAACTCCGAACATACATGTACCAGGGTCGGTATTGGACCCTCGACTTGTTGTATACACGGCAAAGGAGTTAACATCTCACCACCGTGGTGCCCCTTGGGTTGCCTGACCGCACGTCACCACGCTGGTCAGTGCCTGCTGACATAGGCGGGGAGCATGGTACAGTCCAACGATGGGCTTTCCCGCACTCAAAAGTCAAAGTGATTTCCTCCTTAATTAGCGTTGAGACATTGGTACTTATCTCATATTTACAGCCCTGAGTCAGTGGTGGGAATTCCACATTCCATAGGACATCTACTGGTACTCGTTTTATCAACCCCAGAGAGCTGATGAGCTGAGTCAACTCACGACCCGGGTTTTAACTCCCAACTTTCTGAGCGTGAGCCACTCACTCGACGGCTGATTCACGTGGCTGACCAGATCTCGACGAGGCCTTCATCCTGCCAGCAGTGGTTTGGTCAAGGCTGGAGATGACGACGACGACGGTGAATGTTTACGCGCTGCGTTGTTTGCGTTCCTACAGTGGGACAAGGCCCTCTCGGTGGCTCCCGGAGTCTCCATGTCGTACTGGAAGAAGCTTATGCAGAGGTGCGTGCGCAGACAGATGTCCCTGCGTGTGTGCGCGCGTCAGTGAATGCATGGGACCCTAGCGGTCCAGCCATCTCGGTCAGTCAACCCGCAACACCTGAGTCTGTGTCGTGACCTCCTGTCTGCCTGCGAGCGAGCCTTCCACGCTTCACGTGACCTGCAGTACACCTAGTCTGGCACAAGCACTCCGGTGACGTCACCGCTGCTTTGTGGCGAATGGCGACTGCTGTCTCTATGGTGGTGGTGAAGTGGTTAGTGCACTGCGCGATAAATCCCTCCTCTCCTCCACCCCCCCCCCCCCCGGTTTCTCCTCTCCCCCCCCGGTCCCTCCTCTTCCCCCCCCCCCCGGTCCCTCCGCCCCCGGTCCCCCCCCCCTGGTCCCTTCTCCCCCCACCCCCCCCGGTCCCTCCTCTCCCCCCCCCGTCCCTCCATCCCCCTCTCCCCCCCCCCCGCGTGTAGACGTGCTGATCAGCTGGTGGAGGAGGAGGATGACGCGGTGATCCCGTGCTGCGTGGCCACGGGCGACGTCCGCAAACTCGTGCACTTCTTCTGCTCGCGAGGCCAGCTCGCGGACGCCGTGCTCCTCGCGCAGGTGGCAGCCACGGCACAAAGACAAAGGTCCCCCTTGTAGCCCACACAGGCAGTCGGGGCAAGTGTTGCCAGCGAGCACCTGTGGGGGCCGGCGCCGCGCACGAGGGTGCAGGGTGGCCGGCGCCACGCCCGGCCGCCTTTGTCTCCCCTGGGGCTGATGTTTGCTCATCGCACCAGGTACTCATTTGGTGCTGAGTTGACCACTGCGCCACTCCTGCACATGCAGACAAAGATCCCCCGTGTAGCCTTAACAGACTGTTGAGGCAAGTGCTGTTAGCGAGCAGCTTTGAAGGCCGGCACGGCACACGAGGGGGTAGGTGTCCAGCACCACGCCCGGCCACCTTTGTATTCCCAGTGGCGATGTTTATACACCGCACCAGGTACTAATTTGAGGCTGAGTCGACCTCGGGGAGGCCCAGGACCGTTTAAGATAATTGTCACTGGTGTTTGGCCGTGAACGGGAATCGAACCCAAGGTCGCCAGGTTCGTAGGGCAGTGCGCTAACCGCTAAACTACCGCTCCCCACATGCACACAGACACATGCACACAGAAACACTGGTGGCACTGATACGACACACGTAATGCACATGACACACCACACGGTGCATCGTTACCTGCCCCTCCTTCCCCACCCCCCTGCCCCCCTCCCCACCCGCCCGCCCCCCCCCCTCACCTCCACCACCCCTGCCCCCCCAACCCCCTGTCCTCCGTCCCCCCACCCCAATCACCCCCCCACCCTCCTGCCCCCACCTCCCACTAGGCCGCGTGTGAAGGGAACATCCTGGAGGCGGTGATCCCCAGCGAACCCCGCTCCCCCGGCGACGCAGCCCCCTCCTCAGAGAGCCACGCCGGGTGAGTGGGGGGGGGGCCACTCCCCTCCCCCCGCCGTCGCCCAAGCGATGTGCGAGGCCCTGTGGGAAAACATCGTCGTCGTCATCGTCGTCGCCCTTTGCACCTTCACAATCATTGCCATCGTCATATTCGCCGCTTACTTTTCACAAGGCGCTATCTATATAGTGCCAGATGGTGCTGCCACAGTGGTGCAATGGGTAGCAGCGCACCGCACTTCTATCTCCCGGCGCGGCGGCTGTCGAAACAAATGGGGCGAGTTTACTCAATCCCCTCCCGCCACCCCTGTCCACCCAGCAGTGTAGATCTGGGATGGTCGGGTAAAGTGTTGGCACTCCCACCTCTTGACATGGAAGAGTCGGCCAAAGCGATCTTCCGGAGCAGCTGTCTGGTGTCGTAGATGCAGCGCCTGTTGCTGCACGTTGGACGTGCGCTGGTTCGTGTGTGATGCGTCGCGTGTGATGCGTCGCGTGTCATGCGTGCCGTGCATTATCCCTGCCGTGTGCCGTGTCCATTCCCAGGCTGCTGCGCCGCGTGAGTGGAGAGCTCGCCGAGTGGTATTTCCGCGACGGGCAGGCCATCATGGCTGCCTGCTGCCACCTGGCCATCGATGAGGTGGAGGTGTGTACGAGCTTGTGTGTGCGCGCGCGCAGTTGCGGTACGCTTTCGCTTGCGCGTGTGTGCGTGGGGAGTGGTGGCGCGGCGATTAGCGCGCTGCGTTACGAACCCGACGACCCGAGTTAGGTTTCCCATTCACTACCAATGACAGTGGTGAATATATGAGCAGGTCCCGGGCCTTCCCTGGATTGACTGAGCCTTAAATGAGTAGCCAGTCCAGTAGGGGAAACACCTACCCTCTCGTGTGCCGCGCCGGCCTTAATCTGTAGCCGCTGACAGCACTTGGCCCAACAGCGTCTGTAGGCTACGCGGGTGATCTTTGCCCTTTGTGCCCGTCAGCTGGCCGTGTCCAAGCTGGTGCGGGGTAACGAGCTGGAGCTGGCGGTGACCGTCGGGGTGGTACTGGGCGGCGCCGCCGCCCCCATCGCTCACCAAGCTGCCCAGCTGCTGGCGCGCAAGTGCCTCGCCTTCAATCGCTGGTCGGTCGCCGTCATGCGGAGGAAACGCACCCCCTGGGGGTCTCGCGGGGGCAGGGGGGGGGGTTCATCGCGGACCATTCGCTTCCCTTCCCCGTTTTCCATGAACAATGGGAAAGCCGGGAATTCGCTGGCTCGAGGCTGAGGTCTGGCCGAGAAGCAGCACCCCCAAGGCCTAGGCCCGGTTGGTTCCCCAGGCATCGTGAGCCATGAGGCCTCGTGGGCCTGGTCACTCCCCTGTGCACATTACTCGTTTGGGATTATACCTAGCAATCATCGCCCCCCCCACCCCCTACCGACAGCCTAATGCCGCAGGTCTCTCCTTCAAGTGAGACGCATACTGGTCTGTTGAGCTGTCACCTGGTAGAACGAAACAAACCTGAACTTAGCTCGCCACAAGGCGCCGCATGTCGCACGGTCCGCAGTGGAGGGCCGTGCAGGCTGGATCTGGCCCCCCACACCTCTCAGCCCAGCTGGAGTGGCGGCGCCAGCCTCTCCCAGTGGCGGCGAGAGGTGCCGGAAAACGAGTGGGCCCCCCAGTCCCAGCTCGCGAACGGCCGTCAGCGGCGCTCTGTGGCTCGCCCACCCCGCCATGGTCCATATAGCAGCCTCGGAAACGGACAATGGACGGCGGCACAATAACACAGCCACGCTTTTTTTATACTTTGATCTGGCCCTAACAATGATGAGTGACTCGGCTAGGAATGTCTAATCCCCGCAAGTAGGTCAAACACGACTCATCTCACTAGGTATGTCCACAAATGGCTTAATAACAACGGTTGTCCCTTCCCATTGTCCATGTGTGCACGTCTGTGTATTCATTACACTGAGGGGTGGGTGTCCTGTAATTAACTAATGTGTGTTCCGTAATTAGTGCCACAGGCGGTCACGATCCTCCTCCGCACGTCCACGTGTTCCATCACCACCCCCACCGGCTATGAAGACACGATGCCGTAATATGTGCTCTTTGTTTTGTTTCCAGCATGCCTTACACCGGAAGTAGGTATAGCCCAGATTATTTCGCCTAAATTATCGCTTCCATCTTGTTTCTCACCCTTGTTTGTTGGCACAGTCTGCCTCTCTCTCGCCACTCCTCCACCGCGCTTTTTCATCTCTGCGAAAAGTTGCTTTGGTGTCCCGTGGTGCATGACGAAGCGTCGTGGTTCTTATTAGGTTTTCTGGTTCTTGGTGCCGCATGTTTCGTGTTCATTTTTCGACCTCGGTTTGCTTCGGTTAGATACCCTGAGCGTTCACGAGAGATGTTAAGTGTTCGTGAATATGTCCCCGAACGTTTCTCAGTGGTGGTGGTGGCAAACATTTAAAAATGATGCCGAGTTTTGGAGGCGGCCGGGCGGTACAGAGATCAGAGTGTTGAGCTGGCGCTGCTGAGAGGCTGGGTTCGAATCTGAGCTTTTGGCCACCAGTGATTCAACCAGATTTTCAGTGTAGTCTGTTTGATGGTTTTTTGTCTCTGTCACCAATAACTGCACACACACACCCATGCACAAAATATTATGGTAAATTAGCCTAAATTCCAGCGTTGAGATTTAAATGTATCGATTTCTCTTACTGTAGCAGGGTGGGTGGGATATTGATGCCCCCTCGTGAGTCTAAGGGGTCACTTGCCGAGGTTCAGAAGCCAGTTTTGTAATAGCCACTTCCACGCGACGTTCTCTGACACGTGAGGGTGAGCCGCTCTTCAGTGGTTCAAAACGGATAAAAGTGTAAAAGAAGATAATGAAAAACACAGATGTTGGCTTATTCGAGTGATCTAGGTATTTCTGCGCAAAGCTGGACATTTTTGCATGCTATCGATCGATTCCAAGCATTTGTCTTCGTGTGCACGTGCGTGCGTGCGTGTGTGTGCATGTGTGCGTGCGTGTGGGACGCAGGGACCTCGCCGTGGACCTCCTCAAGATGATCCCCGACAGCGAGGAGCAGCTGGTGCAGCTTTGCGCGTTCAGCACGGGGAGCAGCACCGAACTCGACGAGCTCCACCGCAAGGTCAGAGGTTCCACGGGGGAGGGGGGGACGTCACCAAGGCTGGGGGGGGGGGGGCAGCACCATGAGGAGTGGGAGGTTGGCACCAAGGGGGGCCACGGGTTAGGGGGGGCACCACAGAGAGGAGGGGGTGGGCACCATGCGAGGGCTGCTCCAAGGGGGGCGGCACCATGGGAGTAGAGGGGGTAGCACCACGAGGCGGGGCTGCATCTTTACGTGTACATGCGTTGTGTGTGTGTGTATTGACGGGTGCCCGCAGTGTGAACTCCCCACGCTGGAGGAGTGTGCCGCCCTGGCCGAGTCGCACGCGGAAGCCGGGGAGGTGGAGCCCGCCGTGCGCCACGCGCTGCTCTCGCCCACGCCCGAGCGAGCGCTCGAGATCGGACTCCCCGCTGTCAAGGGTACACGCCGACACGGGGAACATGGGGGACATGGGGGACATGGGGACAGATACGGGCACACGTAGGGCACACCTAGAGAAACGCAGATATATGTAGGGACACGGGGTGACCTGCAAGACAAAGATCCCCCGTATACCTGAACAGACTATTGGGGCAAGTGCTGTAGCACCTGTGAAGGCCGGCACAGCACACGGCAGGGTGGGTAGTCACCACATCGCTCGGCCGCCTTTGTCTCCACAGTGGTGATGTTTACACACCACACCAGGTACTCAGTTGAGGCTGAGTCGACCTAGGGTATGCCCATGACCAGTTCAGATAATTGTCACCTGTGTTGGCTGTGAGTGGGAATCGAACTCGGGTTGCCGGGTTCGTAGCGCAGCATGCTAACCGCTACACGACCGCTCCCCACAGAGGGACACATGGGCACACGCTGGCACCTCGTGTCACTTGGAGCTACAGGATAGGGGGTGGGGTTACAGGACAGGGGGTGGGGCTACAGGACAGGGAGTTGGAGACTGATGCTGCAAATGAATTCTAACTCCGCGTGAACACTTCAGTCAGGGACGACAATTTTCGCGCGAATACGTCCAGGTGATGCTACACACCTGTTTTTACTCGTCTCCCGCCGCGCGCCTCTCCCTCCCGTCCCGTGGAGCAGAGCGGATGAGCCGCGAGGGCTGGACGCTCGAGGAGGTGCTGCCGCTGCTGAAGCTGCTCGGCTCCATCCAGACGGACCGCCTCATGCTGCACCGCTGCAGCGAGTGAGTCACGTCAGGTTGCCGCCCCGAACCTGACCTCTTTGACCCCGCCTCACCTCTCTCCCCCTGCCCCCGCCGCCCCACGCCCACAGATGCTTGGGATCACCCAAGGACTTGCAGAGACACGCAGGGACAGCCGTTGGACATTCAGGGAACACATGGGAACAAACGAGGGTGCTCAGAAAAGTGTGAAGATACAACGGAGACTTGTCGGGAGGCACCAGGAGTTGGGTGGGAAGGACTCTGTCGCTAGAACGTGGTTGAGGTTCACGGCAGAGTAGCATCCAAAGGGGAGAACATGGCCATGAGGACATCCACCACCGAGACCGGATGGAGTGTTTCATCATCGCAGGGCCATCACCCCCCCCCCCCCCATACCAACCACATGCCTACCCAAATCCATGTATACACCGACCTGGCATACTGGGTGGGCAATGGGGGATGATCACCTCAACTCCATCCCCGCCCCTCTCTCGTCCCATATTGAGGAAATTGCAATTTATTGATATCTAGCAGAGAATATACATTTTCTTTTTTATTAACATTGGGCCATAATTAAAAAGCTTGACATTTCAGGGCCCCCCCACCCACCGCCCCCTTGGGAAGTCCCGAGATCCGTCTCTGCCAAGGTGAGTCGCCAACTCCCCCCGTCGCCCTCGGTAAGATGCCCGTCTCGGTGAGGGCCGTCTACCATCTCGGTGGGAATCCTGTGGCACGGCAGGTCAGCTTTTCACTGCGCAGGTCTTCCCTACCATGATCCAGAAGGCAGAGAATTGGCATTGAATGAAAGCTCCGATCCTGGACAAAGGGAAGGAACCATGGTGGAGGTTTGGGTGGCCAACTCCATTAACGAGCGTTTATACACGTGTAGAAGCAAACCAGAATACGGGGAGCAACCCCACATTTGTGAGGGGGATAACACTCAATCCCTACAGAGATGTAAATTAACCCCACTTGCAATACTGCCATACCTTGGCAAGCCAGGAGACGGCGACCTTGGGTTGGGAGGGAGTTTCACGAACGTGTGATCTGCCAAGCCTTGCCTCCACAGTGCGAGGTTTGAGGCGTCCGCACGACCAACACCTGGATCACCCTGTAATTCTGTTACTTTCGACTCACCAAAATTCTCTTCGCACGAAAATTCCACACAGTGTTCAAAAAGACTTCCGATCTCCAACCCCCATCACTCGCTAACCTTTTGACCTCTCTCTTTCTCCCTCCGTCCCATGCCGACATCTTCCCAACCCGTGCCACCGTGGTGACCTGCGACCCTTCTTCGACCCTTCTTCTCGGCCTAGCATGCGTAACGAGCTGCTGATCCTGTGCGGCTACGCGGGAGCGCTCTGGGCGATGCGCCGCGGCTACTGGCCCGTCGTGCCGGCGCTCTACGAGTACACGAGCCAGCTGCTGCGGCGCCGCGACGTCTCCGTGCCGCTCCACGTGGACGAGCTGGCGCGCGAGCTCGACGCGTGGCGCCATGCCGGCTGTCCCGGCACCACCTCGGCCGCAGCCACCCCAGCTGCTGCCGCCGCCGCCGCCGCCACCACCGCCGCACACGACTCGGCTAGGTATCAATAGTCCAGCGGTTAGAGATGGTCATTTTACTGTGGGCCCTGCAGCAGGCTCGGGAAAAACACACCTAGGCCTAAGCATTACCTTGCGAGGTGTTTTTGTTCCCGAGATTGTTGCAGAGGTGGTTCTAGAAACTTCCCCGTGTGAAGTGGACCCTCCCGACATGTCTTCCCTCTTTAAATGTGGACCTACTTTAATAATAATTATACTAAAGAAAAATATGATATGCGTTTAATCATGAAAATAAAAATGTTTATGGTTTCAGAGGAAATGTTGGGGGGGGGGGGTGGGGGGTGATTGCTCTTATGGGCCCCACCCAACCTTGGATCCCCCACTGCCACCTGCCACATCTCCGTAATGCAGGGGTCTTCTAGCCGAATGATTCTTGACTCAGTTTCAAGCGAAATATTCCATGAAGTCGCTAATTTGGATGTGGAAATTGCTCGATAAACGCTTGTTTGGCTATATCGAAACGTGGAGGGCCTTTGCGACAGAAATTTGGCCAGATAATTTACGTGACCTCACAAAAAAAATCAATTATGGAAAGTGAGTGCCATTGTTTCTGGGTGCCCTACAGAAATGCGCACTTGTTGTAGGCTGTGTTTGGGTGCACGATGTCAAGGCGTCGTGTCTCGCCGTGCGCAGCCCGGAGCAGCTGGCGCTGTTCGCGGAGCTGGAGCGGCGCGTCGGCTCGGAGGAGCTGGCGGCTCTGGTTGGGTATGATCACGTGACCGGCTCCAGCCTGCCCAGCCACGCCGACCTGCAACTCTCCTGCCTCACGGGCGCCGGCATCCAGGTGTGGGACACCTGGGCAGTTGACCTGGGAAATATCTGGGCAGTAGACCTGGGTAATGCCTCAGCAATACACCTTGGCACTGACACAATAGGCATCTGTAGAATGCAAGTGGGAATTTTTACAATGTACCTGGGCACCAGCACATGATACAAGACCTGGGCACCAGTATGATTATGGTAATGATGATACTGCTGCTGCATATTATGGCGGTGGTAATAATGATACTATTGCTGCGGATAATTGAGAATAATCAATTTGCTGCTGCTGCTGTTGTTGCCTATGGTGATGGCAATGATGCCGCTGTTGCTGACGATGATGATGGTCTTGACGATGGTCTTGACGATGGTGTGTACTCACAGGGCCCGGTGTTTTTTCTCGAGGACGGGAAGTCGGCCATCTCCCTCAACGATGCCCTCATGTGGGCCAAAGTGAACCCCTTCTCTCCCCTGGGCACGGGGCTACCAATCATCCCCTTCTGATCCCTCACCTTCAACTCCTTTATGTAATTACATGTATGTATGTTGAACCGTACGCAGCCAACTGCGCGAATCGGAGGTGCGGGGGAAGGATAACAAACTAAACACAAAAAGCAGTTCTAAGGAAATTAGTTTTCAATCTAGATTTAAAAGTGCATCGCTCCAGTGGCGTCCTAATATCGGAAGGAAGAGTTTTCCAGACACCCTCCGAAGCGCACCCGAAAGCGAGCGATGCAGTGACCGTCCTTGTTCGATGGCCAGCCAAAAGCCGCTGTAAGGATGACCAGAGTTCATGCGATGGTTCATGCTTCTCGACGAGGTCAGCGGGGAGCTGACCAACAGGGCCGTGGCGAGGCCCGGGGATGGTGGAGCTACTATAAAAAAATACCCTGAAAAATGTCTTAGCTGTTTTCTGCACTCAGCCAAGGCTGCCCCGCACCACCTTCCTACACCGGGAGGTTGTAGATGTCACATGTAGATACTCTGTAGATGCCGTGTGCTGTGAAGTGTCGGTCAGCCGCCCACTGTTGAGTAGGGTTGCCGCCACTCAGGCACAAAAGACCAGGACATATTCTTCATAGAGAGAAGAATATCTGACAACGCCGGAAGTGAGTGAGATCTACATGTAAATGCATCGTTTTGAGCGGTGTATTATTACGCAACTGACAAAGACCGGCACTTGTAATCATTCAGAATGGCTTACAGATAACCCAGGATGGCCATTACCACAAGAGGACAATCCTCAGAAAACCAGGACGGGTGGCGACGCTTCTATCATGGCCAACCCATCAAAGTGCGGAGCTGCCACTTCTGTCCCATCTCGTCTACAATAAAAGTTTTATTTTTTAATTTGTCACTAATATACAGAATTTTTTTTGTGTTTTTCAGGAAAAGCTGTGATGGCTATCAAGGGAGACCTGAGCAGCAGGTCTTGGTTAAGGGTACGGTTCCCGAGCCTGTTGCAAGGCTCACATTGAAATGACCATCTCTACCCGCTGGACAATTGATACAGAGCTCTCGAAGGCCTGGTGGTTCATAATGGCTTATGGTAGGGGAGGGACGTCTGGCTAGAGAGGATGTGTAACTTGATTAGGTGGAGTGTGTGGCACCTTCACTGTGGCCTTATCGGTTTTGGAGTGATTCAACTTACACAAGAAAAATAGTCCATCTGATTTGCCCAGTATTTGCTGATGCGCTGGTGGGGTTGATGGTGGCACTATGCTAAAGAGTAGCTTTGATAGACGTCTACGTGTAAAATTCTCGATATAATACAGCCTTCTTGCCCTCATGGATTTGTCTTAATCGCTCCAACTTTAATGGCAGTTCACGATGAGTTGAGAAACTTTTATTGTAACTACGAAGAGGCTAAAATACAAGCGTTCCCACTGGATAAATAATCAACCGGACTATTGTAAAAATGTGCCAGTTGTGAGAGCAGAGTACCAATTTGAGTGCTTGTGAGGGAAAACATGGCAATGACTAAAACTGTTTTAATTGAAGAAATGTTCTGACTGAAGACATTGCTTTTGTGGAAGACGTCAGGACTTTTGGCAGGGGTTTTGAGCCCCACTCTGCCAGAGGTCTACGTAATCAAGAATACATTTTCTGTCGGACGGAGCAAAGCATGTAAAAATGTGTAGTGGGGAGTTCGTCGACGGAGGGAGTCTTTGTAGTTCATGTTTTTGATGTCGGCACTTGTGTATGATTACTTCTACTAAATGTTAATGGTCACGTCATCCCATGAAGGGATAGTTTTTTTCCCTTCTTATCTTCAGTCCGTGTCATAAGCGTGTTTTTAATTATTGTACATGACAGTTCGCGACTCTGGGGAGAATTTAAATTCTTTACCGGCGATGTTGGCTTTTAGTTGCGTTTTTCTGGAATGGCTGTGTTGTGTGTGCAATTGTTTACGTATGCATGTTGAACTTCTTTCGCACCGTGCGTAGCCAACCGTGATAATGTTGGTAAAGATAAATAATTGAAGTGGGATGTATAGTTTGTGTAAACCCCAAAAAAACAAGGCAAACTGTATGTGGGTGGCATCACCACTTTGTGCTGTGCAAAGCACACACGAGGATAAGAATTTGCATTCATACGGCTCTTAAGTGCCCCAGTAAATCAAATCACCTTGCATTACATCTCATCTCAACCATTGCATTGCCTTGCTGCAGCATAGCCAAGGGGCACCTCCAGTGGCAGCTGTCCCTGTGCAGCACAATGTGGACGCAGCAGCCGGGTTGAGACTGGGCATTAGTCTGCCAGTAAGGGGCCGATCTGCCAAGTCGGGGGGCGATGTTAAATGAGCACCATTGAAATACTGTATTATATGTACATCGTCCACTGCAATATGATTCCAACAGTTGATGTCATGTATCTCTTTATCTCGCAGCCCGCTGATATTTATCACGTACAGTAATGTTAATGGGATTTGGTTTTTGGTTCTTTCGGTAAAGTCACATAGAAAGAAAAGAAATTAAATAATTAAATAGTTGTTTTCTTTCTATGTGACTTTACCGAAAGAACCAAATAGTAATTTCTGCAGTCACGAAAGCTCCAAATCAAGTTTAATGGGATTCGGTTTGTACATCACAAAAGTGAATACCAGACTGAGTAAATATTATTCAGGATTTCTTCCTGCTGCTGCTGAGCAAGAATTCTCAGTCAATATACAAATTAAGACGGAACTCTATGAAAAAAACTGTTGAAGGCCAGTGGCGAAATATAGAAAAGTTTTCGGTTTATTATTTTGGAACAGAAAATGCACCGTGTTTGTTTATATATTAACCCATTAGTTATCGCTCTGGTGGGAACAATCCAATGAAATATTTGTATTATTAAATTTGCATAGCATGTAGTGTATACATACATTCATACACACACATATGCCATGTGTGTGAAAATATATTTTTTAATAACCTTAGGTAAGTTGCTCGTACTGTTATTAGAATTATATTTTTAATATAGTAATGATAATAGCCTTTATCCAGAGAAGCCTCACTCAGTTTTAAGATATATTTTTTTTCAGGATGGACCTGCAGGGGCATGTGAGGCCAATTCTGTCGATTTGGAACGTGGAAGCTGAAGGACCCAGAGAACACCCATGCATGAGGGGATATCACTCGTAACCCCACACTCATATATTCCTTTCATTCTACACTACTGCCATCTCATTGCCACCTCAGAGCCCAAGCCATCAACAGCTGGTTATTCCCTGCAGTCTCGAGTACTAATCAAACATAGCTTCTGAGATCTAACCAGATATGGCGCATTGAGGGTGATTCCTAGGCTAATTGAAGTCATACTTACGTAAGTTGGTAGGAAGAGAGAAAGAGTGGATATTGACTTGGTTATGGATAGCTTGCATGTATAAGTGTTAGTGTGGCTGTAACACATGAACCACATTGGATTAGCATCACAACACAAAAAAGCTCAAGATTGACGGAGATGATGCATACAATTTACGTCTTTATTACAATTAGGAATATAATTAAATTGCTTAATTCCTCTACCCAGCAGCTGTTGAGATTCATTACGGAAACGCTGTTTAAGGAATGTGTGCTTTGATTGAATAAAACTGCCCTCGATTTTGATCCGAACTGGAATGCCCCATTTACATCGGCTCTCATTTGCATACACCGAGCTGTGAGTAACTGCACAGCAGAGAACATTATACGGGCTGCTTCAAAAATGTTTTGACACTTATATGGGACTATCGTTTTTAATGGAAAAAGAACGGATAATACACTTTAACATGATAACATATGTATGCTAATAGCTTTAAAAAGTCAGAGTCTCCATTTGTTCGCCATCATTGTCAACACATGCCTGGAATCTTGTCCAGGTGGTCTCTAGAGCCCGGAAGCACATTTCGTGTGGTATTGTTGCAAATTCTCTGAAGTGTTAACGTTTTTTTGAAGCAACCTGTATTAGCACCCGAATATTGCTTCAGGGCTGACTGAGGCCTGCATGATCATCATAATCAACCCTATCATACCTCTGGGGTCAGTAAAATGAGCATCACCCGGTGAGGCTGTGCCACTTAGAAACCAACGGTGGTTTTTTTTTTCTTCCCGTGGACAGAACGGATATCCGTGAGAGCAATGTGGAATTTTCATCACTGATTGAGACCCCAATGGAGATGAGCACTGCCCAACGCTAATGAAATAAAGGGTACGCTTTTGATTTCAATGATCGCCCGTTTGCATCAGAGGAGCTTAAATTGATGGTGGGCTGTCTGTCTTCCCCCCCATACATGTTATTCAAATGCCACACCCTAAGGGTTTCGGCCTAACGTTGAATTTACAATGATTCGTGCCTTCACATGATATTGGTGCCACACATAGCTCTCTCTTTAAACAACTGCCATGCCTGCCTGCGTGTGAAATGTTAAAATACAGCCCCAAGGTGGAGTCATTTCCATACCCAGCACATCCTTGCCAACCCTACCGCATACTGATTTTCAAAGAAATAAATGACATAAAAAATGTTGTCCCCACAAATAAGATCAAGTGGTATAATTATAATTTTTTTTAAATCGGTATGCAGGAAATGGTCTAAATATCAGCAACCTATCGCTTAAATCGGTAGAGTTAGCAAGCTGAAGTCTGCCTTCACCACACGCATATTTTTAGGATGTCACTCTAAAGGCATGAGCAGAATAAGGTTTAATTTATAGCACGCGTGTCCCACATGATACCGGCACCATGTGCAGCGCTGTATTTAATGAGCCACCAGCAATGCAAAACCATCAACGATCAGGAACCTCAAAAGCAACTCTTTCCCCCAAAACTCCTTTGCGTGCGAGGGAGAGTGCTGGCGCCGGGCTCAGTGGCTGGAGACGACGCTGGCGGTGGTGGAGTGGAGAGCGGCGCTGAAGCCTGAAGATTGGCGCACGTGGATTTCCCGGGAGGACCCGCCACTCCCCACCGCTCCGCGCAGCTGAACAGCCGCCCGTGGCCCTGCGTGAAAACAAATCAGAATCAGAATCTTGACGGGAGAAACCCGATGAGCTATGAAGCTCTTTTTCAAGATATGTCCAGCAGGGAGGGATTGGGGACTCACCCTGGCGGTTCCCGGTGTCACGACGAGAGTCGTTGACGCTCGACGTGAGACTCACGCCACTTCCTGTGTCGCGAGGCCGCTCCGCCGACAGAGGAGGCAGCCGCACAGCCAACTCCCCCAGTGTGGGGCGCACGTCGAAGCGGCCTGGAGAGAACGACACACTAGCGGTGGTAAGCAGGGCTTCATTTCTCACTAAAATACTCTCCTGTTCATATTCTTAGGTTTTTTCGGTAAAGTCACGTAGGTAAAACATTAATATTAATAAAAGTAAAATAAAATAAAAATCACGACGTTTCGGAGGCAACACAAGCTTCCGTCTTCAGGTGGAACGGTCACAGCCACGACAGCTGTATCAAGTGGCTGTGACAGTTCCACCTGAAGACGGAAGCTTGTGTTGCCTCCGAAACGTCGTGATTTATTTATTTTACTTTTATTAATTTTAATGTTTTACCTACGTGACTTTACCGAAAAAAACCTAAGAATTTGAATCCTTGCAGTCACGAAAGCTTCAAATCTAGAACTCTCCTGTTCGCTTATAGACTGGAGTAGTATTGCTTAACCAGTAGCCACAGCAAGAGGTACGGTGGATGTGTTGTACCGGATGCGGAAATGTTTTCCGGGTCACCGAATCAGAGATCTAGCTGCATTTAAGCCAATGAGCATATGGATAGTTCATAATTTGTATTTTCTACTGGCATATCTGAGCCGATCGATCCACCATGGAGCTCTCAGACTATGGGTTGTTTTCCACTGGCAATTTGCTGTGTCAAACTGTGACCAAACCATGATACGCTGGCCTCTGAAGGCATCTGAATCAACTTCAGAGCCAATAAGGACCAGGCGTTGGGCTAAGGACATGTCTAGCGTGTGTGATGCCGGTCAGTACAATTCCAGTACAGCTTGACGGTGTGATCTCCATGTGTCTCGACGTCACAAGCTGCGCGGAACAGTAGCAGGGCTCGGCTTCTGTAGTAGAAAAACAACCTGAATGTCATGACCCACATGAGCCTGGCTCGGCACAGCCTTGGCACGGCTCGGATTCGCTAGTGGAACAGAGGTATCGGTTTACCACCGCAGCAGTTTTTTACCGTCGCCGGGGTAACACTCACAGGGGTCCTGTTCCCTCTCCCGCCGCCTCTGGGCAAGATGCTCGCGCAGTACGACCTCCGCTCGCTGCCTGGTAGCTGCCTCGCTGGGTTCGGCCAATAGCTGCGTGAGCCGTACGTTGCTCTTGAGCGCCTGCGACGCCGTGGAACGGGCATGCATGGGGAGCGCCCGCTGGTAGCGGGCGTCGGTGAACCGTGGTGCCTCGGAGTTGGGTTCTTGCGCCGTGCCCGTTGATCCCACCGCGCCCTCCTCGCTCAGGGCGCCCTCTCCACCGTTAATGCTCTTCACCCTGTCGCGACGGGCAGGACCGGAGAGAGAGAGACTGCCTTGGAGAGATCATAACATTGGGAGACTTGCCGGCGGTTCATCTCATCCCGCACCCGAATAGCACGGTTGGCTATGTATGGTGCAAAATACATTCAACATACATACAGTGATAGTGCCAGCCTACTGGGAACCTTAATCAGAAATTATTTTGTGGTGCATCATGGGATAACAAACATTATTTCCAAATTTCTGCAGCATAGAAATTGGAAATAATGGAACTTCCACCACTGGCTCCGGCTAACATACATAGATGAGCTTTGCCCTTTAAAAAAAAGCAATGACAGACATTCACGTTGGCTTGTTAAGTCGTGGCGCTGGTTCAGCCCTGTCGGTATCCGCACCGTCTGTTGGTGAGCGTGCTGTAAACTCGCTGCAGGAGTTGCTCTGCTGCGCCTGGTTTGCGGTGCAAGGTCCCGTCCGTCAGCTCCTTGGAGAAAGCCAGGCCGCGTTTGGCGAAGAACTGCAGGTCGGATTACAAAAAACGCAGAAAGCACTCTTAACGAGTCTTAGATGAAGGAAACAAATCAATTAAGTAGCTGTTGCATTACACACACCACCCAATGTGTGCGTTCTCAGAGAAAAATACTCAGACGTTGGACGCATTCTCCCACTGCAGTCCATGGGTCAGATAATTGGTACCACCTAAGGTAGAAAAACCCTTGTAGTACATATGTATCTGTATGGCGAATAAGAGTTTATTATTTGACAGCCCACTCATTTCATATCGAATAATTCACTGTTATTGGCCGCATAAGAAATATGAAACCATCAAAGTTATGCTACCTCAGGTAGTACCTGACAAGTGAAATGTCTGGTCTGGGCCCATAGACTACTGGGAGGAGGCCTTGGAAGTGCTTTGCTCGCCCCCCACCCCCTGTACCCCCCCCCCCGACCGCCTGTAACCCCCCAACCCCGCCGGCGCATACCCGATGCAGGAGGCTCCAGTTGGCCAGCTTAGAGGCAAGGGATTCCCCGGGCTGGAAACTGTGCATGAGCAGATCCCCTGGGTAGTACCACGAGAAGATCTCAGCCAGAACAAGGCCATTGGACAAGTCTCTGCAATGCACGGAGCAAACACGGGTTTGTACAGGACAAATATAATTACAATATACAATTATAATCTGTATATTATGCTTTTTTTTGATTTACACAAAAGTTTTCGAATGAAAGTCAGCTGAAAATATTAAATATGGTACTTTATTTTTGACCCCAAAACCAATTGATTTGTTGTATATTCAACCAGATGAGAGCCCTTGGAGAGTCATCATCTGCGCAGACTCTTAGGTCCGGTAATTGATGGCAAGCTCTTCAGGTGCTTACGCCAACACCAGAACAGTGGAGCGCGCTGTCTTTGATTTGGTGGTTCCAACGTTCTGGGAAGGTCTGCCTTTACCGTATT